TAGAACTATTCCACAGCCGAAGACAGTAATCAGAAAAGGTGGGTGCACACTTTTTGCCTGTAGATTTGAAGACATACTTCAAATCTCCGCGTCCATCGTACGGGTTAGGCAAAAGGTGTGCGTTAGACTTTGAACTGTCGCTTTAATGGCCCTTCGCTCATTTTCAACTTCTATTCAATTTTCATACTGCCGTACTCTAACAGGACTATCTACCTACCCTCTTCTAAAGATCATTCTCTAGCTAATAAATTATCACACTAAAGATTCATGTTAGATAGCATTTCCAACCAACTCTGAAAATTGCAAACATTGCGTATGAAGTTACATAAAAACACTTTGAATGAGACTAAAGTGGTATTTTTATACGATAGATGAGGAGATGAAAGTATAGAGTTGATAGTTCCGTTAGAGTACGGCAGTGTGAAAATTGTATATAGAGAGTAGAAAGCGAGCAAGGACAACTTTTTAGGAAGGTACAAATCGGTTTGATCATCTCTCTTTACCGAACTCCCCCGTTGGAGAGGGATGGTGAGGGGTATCCCCCCGCCACCACTGGCAAAAATTGTCGGTACATGAGCGAGTTGGTGATCATCTCTTTTTGCCAGTGGTGGCGAGGGGGGGAGGGGGGGCTATACATCTCACCATCCCTCTCTAATGGGGGAGTTCGGTAAAGAGAGATGATCAAACCGATTTGTACCTTCCTAAAAAGTTGTTCTTGCTCGCTTTCTACTCTCTATATACAATTTTCGCACTGCCGTACTCTAACGAAAGTAAAAAAGCATAAAGAAAAAACAGTTGCTATTTTTCAATACCTGGAAAGACTTATTAAAATGCAAACTTAGAATGGCTAAGAAAGACGTCGAAAAAAGGAACACATTTCATGGATCATTGCGGAGTTTGTTTGATATCGGGAAGAATTTTAAGGCAAAAACCCGTGAAGAAAACCAGGCGATGCAATATTTGCAAAAATAGCGGGAACAAGCTCATCTTGAAGAAGAAACTGAGGTTCTCCCTACCAATGAAACCATTTCGTGCAGCGATTTTGAGGAAGAAGGGTCAAGCCAAAGACCGGATCAAATTTGTAGTGCAACCTCAATTGAAACATCATCACAAAACGACAGCCAGGCTGGGTCAGTGTACTCGCCTAGTACATCCGAAAGAGCTTCTCCAAAAACAGGTACGTTGTGATGTTTTACTAATGTTTTTTTTTCTTTTAGATTATACACCTATTACCATCCATATTAATATATTTTGAACGTTCTAGGTTCTCCAAAACCAGCTTTGACACGTAAATCGAAACTGATACGAGTTGTTACAGTTGAGGTAGCTGCTGCATTGGACCGCTGTAAAGTGAGTGATCGAAATGCTGTGTTTCTAATATCATCGATCGCTAAAGCTTTAGGGCACGATGTTTCATCATTACTGTTGAACAAGGAATCTGTCAGAATCGCCAGAGCAGGAACTCGCTTACAAATGCAACATGATTTAAAAGCGTCGTTTAAGCCAGATATAAATTTAACAGTACATTGGGATTCTAAGCTGCTACCTAACATATTACCATGCAAAGCTCTACCAAAAACCGAGCGCTTGGCCATAGTTGTATCAGGCGAAGGCATTAGCAAATTATTGGCTGTTCCACCCATCGAAAACTCTACGGGGGCACAACAAGCAGAAGCGGTGTACAATGCAGTCGTCGAATGGGGGCTTGCGGACAGGTATGATCTTAAATCTTGTATGTTCACCTCAGAATTCTGACTATTTTATCGTTTTTTTTCAGAATTATGTTTACATCTTTTGATACTACTGCATCAAACACCGGTAGAAAAAAAGGAGCGTGTCAGTACCTGGACAAATTGTTTAAGAGGCAGCTTATAGGCCTCCCTTGTAGACACCACATACATGAACTGCTACTTGGCAAAGTTTTAAAATTCTGAAATTTGAAACGTTAAAGTCTCCAAATGTTGAGATTTTTAAGGAATTCCAATCAACATGGCACATTTTGGAAAAGACTTCATACCACTCAGGTATGGATGATGATTTTTTTTTTAAATAGCTATTTCGGAAATAGAAAGATTGGCGTTATTGGAGTTTTATGAAAAACAAATTAGAGAGCAACACCACCATGGTGATTACCGAAAGGTTCTACAACTTGCCATTTTAACGGCGCTGGTGGTGTAGTGGTAAGCGTGATTACCTCTCACCCCAGCAAGGCCTGCTGGGTTCAATCCCAGTCGGTGCCGCCGGGATGTTCTGAGGCATAACATCTCTGATCACGCCTTCCTTTGGATGGGAAGTAAAGCCGTTGGTCCCCGGTTCATGAGTTGATGGGTCGATAAGTAGGGTCCAGGTGTGGGAGCTGCCTTCCTGGCACGTCGGTAGCATTGGTGCTCAGCACGTAAAACAAGGTCGACGGAAAAAAACAAACCAAAAAAAAAAAAAAAAAAAAACTGGCCGTTTTATATTTGGGTGGAAAAATCGATGAAAAATTACAAATAAAAGCTCCTGGTGCGTTCCACAATGCAAGGTGGATGGCCAAAACCATTTATTCTTTGAAAATGTTTATTCTTCGGCATGAATTTGCTTTACCAGATAAAACTAAAAATCAACTAGCTCGATTTTGTGTGTTCATTGTAAAAATTTATTTGAAAAGTTGGTTTCTTTCTCCGTGTGCTGCGATGACACCCAACAACGATCTGAACCTGTTAAAAATATTGAAGGAATATGAAACTGTTGATGAAGACGTTGCGAAAGCAGTACATAAAAGAATTTTAACTAACTTGCAATATTTGGACAACAGCCTTATCGGACTATGTCTGTTCGACGAAAATGTAGACCTCCCGGTTAAGAAAAAGGTCATCATAAAAACATTACAGCCAGATCCATTGTTGAATCCAACGATATTTCAACGATTGAACTACACTCGTTTGTACAAGGCAGCAGTGATATTGAAAACTTATTCAAAGCTCTCCAAATTCCGAAGTCGTGGCTGAATGTCGATATGGAGCAGTGGAGTAATTCCATCGAGTTTAAAAATGCCAAAAGACGGGTTCAATGTTTGGAAGTAGTTAATGATAATGCAGAGCGTGGTATAGCATTGATTTTTTTTCCTTTGGTTTGTTTTTTTCCGTCGATCTTGTTTTCCGTGCTGAGCACCAATGCTACCGACGTGCCAGGAAGGCAGCTCCCACACCTGGACCCTACTTATCGACCCATCAACTCATGAACCGGGGACCAACGGCTTTACTTCCCATCCGAAGGAAGGCGTGATCAGAGATGTTATGCCTCAGAACATCCCGGCGGCGCCGACTGGGATTGAACCCAGGCCAGCTGGGGTGAGAGGTAATCACGTTTACCACTACACCACCGGCGCCGTTACATAGCATTGATTAAAACATACAATTCAAAACTATCAACGGATGAAGATCAAAAGCAGTGCATTTTAAAATTAGTTGAAGATCATCGAAAAAATTATAAGAGTACAAGGAAATCTGATTTGGTGTAGCTAATAAGGAAATATATGACAAAGTATAAAACAAGTATTTTTTCTCTCTTGTGTAAAACTCATGATTCCAAAAAAAACAGATTAACGCAATTCAAGATATTTTTACAATTGATTTTAAGGAATTTCTGATGAAAAGTTGTGGTTTTTCAAAAAATTTTGAATTTTTGGCCACCCTAATGAAGAATAATTGGACCACCCTAGTGAATTATTTCGTATTAGATCCTAAATGGTGGTTTAATTCAATATATAAGCAGGTTGGAGAAAATTGTGAACAGTTTTAGAAGCCGACTCATCAATCTTCTATATTCCATATAGAACTCATGAAAAAAAAAAATTCCCAGAAAGTCGATTTTTGAAAAAAAAAAAATTTCGTGATAACACCAAATCTCGACGTTTCATGCATTTTTATGACATTTGGCATCAACAAAAATTGTTTGATTTCCGAAATTTCATGTACCCCCCCCCCCCTTGGGAGATTTTCGAGAGTGAAAAAAGTCACACTTTGACGCGTTTGCGCCACCCCTAAATCATGTCCGATTGAGCTCAAATTTTGCATAGGGTAATTTTTCGAGGCAATAAACATTTTGTATATGGTTTGTTAGCGAAATTAAAAATTACCATTTTCGCTGGCAGTCTACTAAGCAGTCCTAACACACTGCCATGAGCTACTCCTGATGTAACATCAAAATCAGAAGAATCTGCTATTTCGATTTGGATAAATGCTATCCGGTTTGTTATATAAGATCTAAGCCACTCAAAGATTCCAACCGCCTTAACCAGGCAATCAAATCTATCAGCTCCGGCCTGGAATCCCGTGCGTCTGCTAACTATTTAGAATGTAGGCCATCGGGGGAAGTTACTTTACTACGGCAAACTTTTCCCTCCAATCTAGAAACCCCCCATGTGTGTGTGTGTGTGTGTACAATCTAACCCCCACTGTCCGGCAGTGTTATTATGGAAGAAAACTGCTTTTTATTACCCTTAAATTAAAGCAGGTTTAGTCCGGGAGTTAGAAGGTGTTAGCTCTATTGCAGCTCCAGTGACCCATTTCAGAATGCCTGGTAATTCACGACCACTCCGAGGTCACTTTTACTTACAATAAGCCCCGCATGTTCATTCTACCTTTATCAAATGGATAATGGTATCATAAACACACTTCCAGATTCAAAAATATTATTTCCAAATCTGGCACGTATATAGTTTTCAAATTTGTTCAACTGCATTAAATCGATTTGAATGGACATTTCTTATCAATTTTGTTTCGAATACCTCTTGATTCATCTGCTGGCAGCACTTACTGGCCCTTACCGGCGACCAACTCATCTGCCCGCAAATGCAACAACGCCTAAATCTCAAATCTCTCCGAACGTCCCCTCGAAAATGCAATCGAGATATGTATAATCTAGAAACCCCCCATGTTGATCCTAACTGTCACCCCATGTTTTACTTACTCTAAACCCTCGTCATCCAACATATGGAACCATCAAGGAAAACCTACCTTAGACTCTATCGGTGGATGACTGGTGCTGGTAGGCGTCGGTGCCGGTGTGGATGTGTCCTGCTTTTGAATTGTGATCATCTCCATAGACAGATGTAGCCGGGCCAGTTCTGGTTTGCTTTTGCCATCGCTTATCATCACCATTCCGGAGCGGGTCTATAAATTCATGAAAATATAAACAGAAGCAATGGGTAACTGCCCGAAAAAATAATAACCAATATTGCTTTCATGATTACCTTAAGATTCTGATCGAATTTCTCTTCTATTGGGGTTGCCATTTTGGTCGTTGCGTTAATCTTCATATTTTCTGCGAATGAAAGAGAAACGGGAAAAGAAAATTTTATTATTTTATTCCACACTTTTCTCTGGTCGTTTTATTTTTCAAAGGGGCAGTTCAATTTTAACTTCCAGGTCTTCCGGAAAACTTACGCAGAAGCCTTTTCCCCCATTCATTGGCGAATAGGTGCAGGTGCTTGCGAATATGCTACATAGTGTGAGCCTCCGTTCGATCGGGATGGAAAACTAATTAAAGTTCGAAAATAAATTGCCCCTGATTGGGCAGATCCTCCCACACCACTAGCCGGTGTAGGTTGTTGAGGTTGAGAGAAGGGATTTCCGTTTCCTCGAAGGAAAGTGTTTGAACCGAAACTTTTCTGGTCAGATCAGCCACGGCGAAGGAGAAATTTGTCAGTACGGAAATGATTTATGTTTCAAGGAGAGTTGGAAAAACCTTCAGAAGGGTGATTTTTGTGTTCACTACAAAAATGCAATTCATCCGAATCCGAAAAAAAAACTGCTCTATTCGGGAGTTGATCGTTAAGGTAATAAAAACGATAATACTGGAATGAACTGCGCTCATAACTAGTGGGGGTGGGGGATCTAGATTTATGAGTATGCTTTTCGTATGAAACAAGTGAGCAAGCACCCGATTGCATTGGAAGGCGTCTGCTTGCGTTCGCATTATTTGTGTTTGTACGGTATGTTTACTGTTTGGCTTAGACTGGATGATGTGAGGCCGGTCGTTATGAACGTTTGAAGAATGCTGTTACGCAATGCTACATTGAGGTCATTCAAACATAAATTGATATGAATGTCCGTTCGATTGGCGTTTGTGGTGATGTATTATTTTCGATTTTTCAAAACAAAGTCATTATTACCGGATAAACACAAAATTATACTGATTAAAACGACATTGAAACGGAAAACTATCATCCAATTTACATAATATAATCAGAACGATGCAACTAATCGTATGTCTAGTTCAGCATTCGCCTTAGCAGAACTGCAAGGTAAACAACTTCGAGCAGTGGAAAATATGGAAAAACATGTCCCATTGTTCTAAGCTGTCCATCTCGCCCTTCCAATTAGTTTTTCTCCGGTTTCTGCATGGAATGTGGCGGGTAATTTTCTCCTCGCCTCGAGATAGGTGCAAATTAAAAGAATGTAAAAGTAAACTTCACCGCAGCCGCCGTCGTGGATGGCTAGTCGAGCATGGTTTGGTCATCACCGCTACAGTCAGTGTGAGAATAAGCCTGGTCGGTTGGTAGATTGACAAAGACAGATGAGAAAAGGTAGGAAAAACTAAATACAGATCAACAAAACCCCTTTGGCATGAGTCATTATTCAAATATTGTTGTCACAGTTGGGGCAGTTCCAGGACGATGGAAAGACAAACGCAATGCATTGTCAGCCAGTGCCTCCAGGTATGGTGACTTGTGACCTGGATGAAATGTTTTCGGTTCTTGAAGTAACGGTGTTGTTTTCTCAAAAGTTGCAACCATTGGACCATTTACAGGCCAAATGGTATAACACATAAAAATGTAAGATCCGATTTGCATGAAACATTGCGTAATTATGTGTTATGGGTAATCATTCAGATTTTGGTCAAAATTTGGTCATTTTGGATTTTTTTAAATGGCGTTTTTGACATTTTTCAATAAATGTGTAGTACTAAAACGTCACTTCTGATCGAAATTACGTCTGACACAAAGTTGGTTAGAAAAGTAAAGCAATTCTCGGAAAAAATATTAAATATAAACTGAAATTTCTGAAAAAAAACTTTAAATTCAATATTTATAATATTTATAATTTAAGCTGCTTTCCATAGTGCTATTTAAAATTAATTTTAATTCTCTTTAGAAATCTCTAGTAATTCACCTAATAATTGTCGGAAATCTCATTTAGAATTATTTTGCTCTAAATACTTCTGAATTTTTGCTTGGAAATTTCCTTAAAATTCTCTAGATTTTTTTTTCATGATGCCCTTGGAATTATCCTATGCTCTTGGTGTATTTTCCGGATTCTGGAATCCTCTTCACAATCATCATGGCTATTTAAAAATTCTACTCTGAACTCACACAATTGACTGGATGTTAAAGTCTTAACTAGCTTAGGGTTCCTTCTGAGGCTCCCTTTAATTTTATCTGAAATACCTTGGTCAGAGCTTAAAACTATTGACTGCCTAGGCTGAGTGTGAAAGCACTGCACTATTCAATCCATTGCTCTGTGCAGACCGTTTGTACCAAACGGTAAAGGACGAGGCAATGAAAGAGCCAACAAAAACATTCAGTCACGCACGAACTGGCGACGCACACCGCTTGCCTTCGCTCACATAGCATGTAATTAAGTCATTTTTCCATAGAAAATGTACGCTCAGTCATTCAAAACAAATATTGGGTACCATCACGGCAGAATAAATGTGTTGACTGAGCTACTGACTGAGTGCTAGACTGTCAGTGACTCGTTTACCTCTGAATCATTCAGACTCTCACGAGGCAGTTAATGATGAGGCAGATGGCAGTTCATATTCATATCAAAATTACTCAATGAACCTGACTGTTGGTGTTAGGATTGAACACCCCTCGAACAGAAGTAGGGCATTTCGATGATAAGTGCAGCTTTGAATGCGGTACTTACGCATGCCGAGGAATTGAACTTAAACTTACTTAAATGTTAAACTTATATCCATCTACTTTAAATCAAGATCTTAGCCTAATTGTTGATAATTGTAATTTGTTGTCTAGAATCATACTATTTAGGAGACTAAATGTAAGTACATGTTAAATTCGTGATATGTCAGGCCATCTAAAAATAAATTACAATTTCAGCTTTGAGCTTACTTGCACCACCCCCGAGTTTTCTTCGGGGATTCACAACACCTTGGTGTTATCCCTAAAAAAAATCTTTGCCAAATTCTTTTGAAAAAAAAAACACTACAGTTCTCTTAATACAAGAGTGAATTTTAAAATATTCGTATCTGCTTTTGTAAATTTAATGTTTAGGATACTCTACCCTACCCTATGGGGGTGTTATTTTGCGTAGCCAAGCAAAGAGTTCCGACAAATTGACGTTTGAATCTTTGATTGACAAATCCATCGCAGTTGAAGACTGGAACGAAATCGCTCAATGCTACGTAGAGATCTGCGGCTTGACTCGCAGTGGAACCCGCCATTTTGCAAAAGTTTAGTGAACAGGAATCACGTTGATTATATTGCGTTTATTATTTGCCTTTTATTATTATTTACGTTTGGAAATAAAAGTGCCACCACACGTTATGTTATAGTTCTCTATGACATAGCCGATTTTGTTTTCTATATCATAGTTCTATGAGATTTGGGAAACAATTTTCAAAAACTTTGAACTATGACGTAATAGTAGCTATGTAGTAGAAAACTATGACTTAGTGCTATAAAATAGAGTTTTCGAGTGAACACACGTTGATTTTTTTCTGTGCATTTTTGTTCGCTTAATGAACCTGTGCACATGGCCTGGAGAAAGTTTTACCGGTTACTACCAAGCAGGATACCAATATGCGCAAGATCCATAACATCCGACCATTTTCAATTCATGAAATCCTAGAACTACGTTTTTTTTCACCATTTATTGACATCTTATTAATATGAGTTCGAAGTTGTGATCAGAAAATTGACTCTTGGGTCCATGAAATGGCCTTCCAGAGGATCAAAATCATCCCTTAAAGAGGTAAACTCATGAAACTGATCGTTCGAAATCACTTATAGATGTCTTATCAGAATAAAATGGGAGTTGTGACCGGAAAATGGACCCTTGGGACCACGAAATGGTCCGTTTTTTTTAAAACCACTCATTGGAATCTTATCAGAATCAATTTGAAGTTATGACCAGAAATTTTACCCTTGGGACCAGTGCACAAAGGTCCCCAAGCCGTATTTAGGAAGACAAACATATTTGCACCCAAACCATCACTTTTAGGTACATGGAATATTGTGGAAAGTTTCTTCGTAGTTTTTGGCCATTGGCAAGTGAAATTAGGGTGGTCCATAAAATTTGTGAATTGAAAATACCAACTTTTTCAATATTTGAGATAGACCAATGCAGTGTTCTAAAATGTTGTATAATAATCAATTTTAATCAATTTTGCTTAAGATATCAAATTTTTATCTCTTATGGTTCATTACTTACGATTATTTTAAACAAGCAAGTTAGGGTGGCCCCTTGAAAATCGGATTTCTTTTTTTTAATAATTCGTTTATTTTTCCAGGCTCATTTGCTGTAGCTTTGCGGAGCCGATATTCATTGTTTAGATAACAAAATTACTTAAAACTAACGTTAGTAAAGCGGAGGCCGATTACTCACGGCTATCTCGAGGTTAGGGGTAACAAATTGTAACAAATGGATGGCAGGGTAGGGATTGTGAACACAAGGTTTGGATAGCAATGTGCTCTTGATCTCGAACTAGGCGACACTCTGATGAAAAAGACAAACATGGGGGTACACCGATGGGCAGCCGGATTTCTTTAAATACCATTTTATAAGTTCATTTCTTTTAGAAACTTTGTTTTAAATACTTTCAAATGAAATCCAAAGTTTGAAAACCGGTTTGCTCCTTTTAGAGATATTAACAATTAAAAAAAAATCGAAGAATATTTCCATTAATTTTCTAATAAAAAAAAATAGCAACATGGTTGCGTCATCATAAGTTCTAAATGTGTCCAAAACAACGTTTTTAAGAGAAATGAACGTATGAAAAGTTATTCAACTAAATTTGTTTTTTAGGGGCCACCCTAACCTGCTTGTTTTAAAAAAATCATAATTCATGAACCATAAGAGATATAAATTTGGTGTCTGAAACACAAATGCTTCGATTTGACCGTTCTACAACTATCTAGAACATTGCATTGCACAGTGGTCCAGAATGCAGATTTAGGTGGAATGATATGTTTTGAGTCTGAAATTGAAACTTTAGACTAAACGTCTCTTCTACAAAGTTGTTCCTTATAGTTAGGGCCTAATTTTTATGATAATGAACTCTAGGGTGGTTATTATTAT